GACTTGGAGTTACAAAACTAAAAGGGGTGAACATGTTTAGCATTTCTCAAGCTGAGGGAACTGAAGGAAAAGAATGAAGCCCCAACTTGCAATATTGAAGGATTCTCTGGGCCAAATATTGAATGATGCAGAAAGCATCAAAAGAAGATGGAAGAAATACACAGTCACTGTACCAAAAGCAAATGGTTGATGTTCGACTGTTTCAAGAGATAGTATATGATCAAGAGCCAATGATACTGAAGGAAGAAGTCCAAGGTGTATTGGTTTTGGCAAAGTACAAGGCTCTGGGAATTGATGGCATACAAATTGAAATCTTCCAACAAACTTATGCAGCACTGGAGGCACTCACTCATCTATGCCAAGAAATTTGGAAGATAGCTACCTGGGCAACTGATTGGAAGAGATCTATATTTGTGCCCATTTCAAAGAGAGGTGACCCAGTGGAATGAAGAAATCATTAGACAATATCATTAATATTGCGTGCAAGTAAAATTTTGCTAAAGATAATACCATCATGGCTACAAGCATACATTGACAGAGAATTTCCCAGAGGTTCAAGCTGAATTCAGATGAGGACATAGAACAAGAGATATCATTGCTAATGTCAGATGTGGCTGAAAGCAGAGAATACCAGAAAGGTGTTTACTTGTGCTTAATTGACTACACAAGGACTTTTCAGTAGTGTGGATCATGACAAGCTAGGGGCAACACTGTGGAGAGTGAGTGTTCTGAAATATTTCATTGTGCTCATCAGGAGCCTGTACATTGATCAAGAGGCAGTATTCAAACAGAACAAGAGAATACCTAATGGTTTAAAATTAGGAGAGGTGTGTGCCAGGGTTGTATTCTTTCTCCATACTTATTCAATATGTATGCTGAGCAAATAATTTGAGAAGTTGGATTACATGAAGAAAAATGTGGCATCAGGATTGGAGGAAGACTCATTAATAACCCTTGATATGCAGATGATACAACCTTGCTTGCTGAAAGTGAAGAAGACTTAAAATACTTACTGAAGAAGATCAAGGACCACAGCCTTCGGTATGGCTTGCACCTCAATGTAAAGAAAACAAAAATCCTCACCACTGGACCAATAAACAACCAATAAATGGAGAAAAGATTGAAGTTGTTAAAGACTTAATTTTGCTTGCATCAGCCATCAACACTCATGGAATCAGCAATCAAGCAATCAAACGACGTATTGCATTAGTAGGCAAATCTGCTGCAGAAAACCTCTTTCAAATCTTGAAGAGCAAAAATGTCATTTTGAAGACTAAGGTGAACCTGAACCAAGCCATGGTATTTTCAATAACCTCATATGCATGCGAAAGTGGGACCATGAATAAAGAAGACCTTAGAAGAATTGATTTTATATTTGAGTTATGGTGTTGGAGAAGAATTTTAAAATTACCATGGACTGCCAAAAGAACAAACAGTACAGCCAGAATGCTCCTTGGAAGCTAGGGTGGCCAGACTTCATCTCTCATATTTAGGATATATTATCAGGAGGGACAGTTCCTGGAGAAGGATAGCATATTTGGTAAAGTCAGAGAAAAAGACCCTCAATGAGATATACTGGCACAGTGACAGCAGCAATGGGCCCAGAGGTTGTCATGTAACGGGACACTGTTTCGTTTTGTTATGCATGGGGTCACTAAGAGTTGGTACCGACTTGCTGTCACCTAACAGCAACAAAGTTTCTGTGCCTAGTCTCCTTTTAAATCTCAGAAGTGATAGGTTTAGGACTATCCTATGGAGTTCTGGTGTGGTGATATAGGACAAGCACTGAAAGGCCAGTTTGAACCACAAGGTTGGTGACTCAAACCCAGCAATTGCTCCTCAGAAATCCCACATACAGTCACTGAATTGGAACCTACTTTATGGTACCCAACAAAAATAACAATACTGATATGTCTCATTGACAAAACAAGGAAGACTTTAATCCCAGACAGATAATCCACTTGTATAGGGGTTGGGATTCCAGCACATATTTTTGTGAACACCATTCATTCCATAACTGTAGGGTCCCTAAAATCTGATGCAATGCTGAACAGGCTCCCTGGAGATGTGAGCTAAACAGTACTAGACACGCTGGACAGGGGCTAGTACAGCTGGATCTACAGGAACAAGCCTAGGTCATGAGGGTGGGTTTTCATTTCAGCTAGATGGAAAGGAATTGTCTCCAAAAGGATCAAATATTAATAAGCATACAATTCTTTGTAAAGAATACATTTGAGAATAAAATCTAATCCTACACAAAGGGTATTAAAAACAATGCTTCTCTGCGAGCTAAGCCGTACCACATTCAATAGATTCCTATGAACCCAGTGGAGACCTGGTTGGCCAGCAGTATGGCGAGACATGGGGACTCCTGGGGCAAGACTCAGTGGCATAGCCACAGAGAACTAGAGTGGAGAGTGAAGTGTCCTGCTGATAAGAAAGGGCAAATGCATAAGAACACCCACACTTGCAGATAATACCCACTTGCCCTGGCTTCAATGGCTAGGTGATCAGAACTCAACTAGAAACAGAAGAGGGAAAAAAGGGTAATCTGATACAATTTGATGACCTTGACCTACACCTATGAATGCAGTAGCTCAAAAGAGGGAACAGATCTCTACAGTGAGGACCATTCCCACCCTGGGCAACTTGCACACTGGCTACCCAAAATGGGGAAGGGGGGAGCCCTACAAAGGCAAGAAGTGACTGGCTTACAAGCTTTCAAGAAGGATCCTAGATCCAGAGGGCATGGAGGAAGGTAGAATCTCCCACTGAGTGGTTTCCAACCTGTCTGGATGGGGCTGATGAAAGGAGATGGGGATAGGTCTCTTGTGGTACAATAGTGAATAATTGCTATCAGAACTGACTGTGAGGGTTGGAAATGTGAAGGTAGACATTTTGTATCAAAAGGAGGGGAGTGGTTGACTTTGCAGTCCAGAACCAGAGGTCCCTGGGACCATCAAGGGAGAAAAGCAGAGTACGGGACCTTACCCAGAGAAACAGTGATGCCCGAGATGGAGGCAGAGACAACGATGTGGAGAGATGGAGCATCTGGGGACACTAGACCCAGAGAGGGAGAGGGACTGTGTGCTGATGACCAGGGGACCTGCAGGGTATACCCTTTGGTTGTTTGATGATGCATGGAGGGGATTGTATTGATGGCAGTGAAACATTATAAGATAGGATGAAAGTAAAGCTAATGTTCTCCCATGTAAACTATCACATAATCCACAATAAAACATTAAAACAACAATAACAACAACAACAACAAACCCAATTCAGAAGTACAGGTCCAATTCTGAGAGAAGTCTCAGGTGGTATACCACAGGATTGAAGTAGACAAAGACAGAGCAGACTTTGTAACTATTTTTACCTGCAAGGTGAATAAAGGCAAGTGTGGCAAAATGGCAGGTAAATACAAAGTCAGCAGGGATAGTGAAGAATAGAATGACATACTCAGGTTTCAAAATGACCAGAACACATTGGATCAATGTATTAATGGGTAAATATGAACTCCTACTTAGGGTTCAAACAACAGGTGCACCCAGTTGTTGTTATTGTTAGGTGCTGGTGAGCTGGTTCAGACTAATAGTGACCATATGTGCGCCAGAACAAAACACTGATCGGCCCTGTGCCATCCTCACAGTCATTTTTACAGTTGAACCCATTGCTGCTTCCACTTTGCCAGTCCGTCTCATTGGGGGTCTTCCTCTTTTTCACTGACCTTCCACTTTACTAAGCATGCTGTCCTTCACCAAGGACTGGTCTCTCTTGATAGTATGTCTGAAGTATGAGAGAGGATTTCCACTTAAGTTTGTTTGTTTATTGCTGCCTCCTGACAGGAAGCATTTCGGATGAAATTTTGAGAACTGATTCACAGATTGATTCCTCAACACTGAACCCTCTTTTTGCCATATTTGCCCTGGGCATAGTTTAAAACCAGGGCTTCAAACCAGTTCATTTGTGGACAATGCAGTGAAATCGGGAACAGACTCAAATTTTTTTAATTTGGGTGAATTAGAACAATAGCCACAATGGAAAAAATTATGGGTCGAAGCCCAGGAATGGGAGACTTAGAAGGGGTGTAGTGGGCCTTCTCACTAGCCTGATGTGGGAGATTGGATTATATCTAGGACTTTGGAGAGTGACATACTCAGAACAACATGGTTGACCGTCATCTTTGAGTGGGGCTCTGTTGTTTCCAGCTTGGCTGATCAAGATATTTGGCTGCTATGTAGCACACCACTACCCTTGCATTCTAAGAGGGAGGTGAAATTTCTAACACTGTATCAATACATAAATTTTCCTGTTGTGGCTGTCATGCTGGTTCACAAATTTGGGCCCATTCTGGATTCACCATATCCATTCTGACAGAACCACAAAGAACCAGTTCAACTCAGGCTCTGGGTGACATCTCTGTAACACAAACACTTTTCACACCATTGTCCTCAAGGTGTGTCCTTCACACCACTCTCCCTCCTACTCAAGGCATCCTTCACTTTCCTTTCTCCATCCTCTATTTTGGTGGCATTTATATTAGCTCAAGAAGTTCAGATTAGATTGTCTTCAGTTTCAAATTATCAATACAAAATTGTGCTGTGGTGTTTGACAAGACTATCTCAGAGAAATGGAGTGAACATTTATGAATTTATCATGTGCCAAATACCATACTTGGTGATTTATTTAATGGGTTCCTACTCTGTTCCTCACAACCACCTTATTTCTGTTCTATGGATGATGCACACAGAGACATTAAGCAATTTGCCTGTGGTCACCAATGCCTCTGTTTCTGACTCCAAACCTATTTTTTTTTTATATTTTTGTTTGTTTTTGTATTCCTCTTTCTGCCTTCCTTCCCCCAACTCCCACCCCATGAAAATAATTGTTTTAGTAGCTCAGGGGCATTTTGATTATCCTTGTGAATCTTACAGGACCTCTTCCACATTATGCTAAGTGTAACTTTATTAAATGAACAACTCTTAATTGTCTCCCTTTCTTAGGGGCTATGCCATTGCCAGCAGTAGTGATGACCGCATGAATGAGCCTCCAACGTCTCTTGGGCTTGTGCCTCACCAGGTTAGTGATTTGGAAGTGAAATCACAATTCTAGCCTGATCCCATTGGTACAGGGGAAGTATTTAGGGTCACTTTCGCTATCTCATCACTCCAGCTCATTTCAGACCCACCCTACGTATCCTCTAGTTTCCCTGGATTTCTAGTAGGAGAACTTCAGGATCACCTGGTAGATACCCCATTTTAGGTGATCGTACAAAAGGAAATCATGAACAAGTAGTGCCACCTAGAATCTTTGGTGTGTTTCACATGTTGCCTCCATTGTTAGTTTGTTCAAGAGCTGCCCCAATTTATGATGACAATGGGATTAGATTGCTGGTATTCATAGAGTTTTCATTGACTGATTTTTTTTATAATTAGATCCACCAGGCCTTTATTCCTAGCCCATTTTAATCTGGAAGCTCTGAGGAAACCTGTTCTAGTATCATAGCAACCTGTGAGCCTCTGGTGACAGATAAGTGTTGGTGGCTGTGCCTGAGATGAGATGTGTTGGGTGGGAACTGACCCCAAGTAGGGTCACTTGAGTCGGAATTGATTCTTTGGCCATGAGGTTTTGGTGCTTTTGTCTCCCATGTCCTCATCACTTTCATTGTTACTGAGTGCTGTCGGGTCAGTTCTGACTCATAGAGACCCTGTATAGGGTTTCCAAGGAGCAGCTGGTAGGTTTGAACCGCTGACTTTGTGGTTAGCAGTCCAGTGCTGATCCTACAGTGAGACCTCATAGTGAAGTAGACAAAGACAGAGCAGACTTTGGAATTCAGCGGATAGTGCTTATATGCTAGCCCTGCCTTAGCCGTGTCCCTCAACTTCTCCGAGACTTTCTTTCTGTATGGATAATAGTTACCTCAGCTGCTGGTGGTAGACATTACCCACTCCCATGCCATCCAGTCAATGCACAGTGACCCAAGAGGACAGAGCAAACTGTCCTTTAGGGATTCCAAGACTGTAAATCTTTACAGGACCAGACAGCTTCATCTTCCTCCCATGGATGCTTTCAATTGCCAACCTTATAGTTAGCAGCTCAATGCTTAATCACAGTGCCACCAGGGCTTCTGTGATGTAGGGGAAGGGCTTAGCATAAAATCTTGCCTCTCTCACTAGGCAGCAAATAATAGACCTTGTGTTAGGTCACTGAATCCTCCCTGGCCTTCAGGTTCCGTATTAGTCAAAAACCAAAGCACCACACAAGTCACCATCAAGTCATGGCGACCTCATGTGTGTAGAGTGCTTTCCCTAGATTTCCAAAGCTGATCTTTTGGAAGCAGGTTGCCAGGCCTTTCTTCTGAGGCACCTGTGGGTAGGTTCAAACTGCCAACCTTTGATCGTTTGCATCACTGAGTAACTCCAATATTAGTGCTTTATTTATCTTGTTCCCAGGGGAGCATCTGTGATGTGGCTTTGCATTCCAGAAAGCCCTTTGCAGATGTGGCTTTCCCACCTTGTGTCACACACAGTGGCATGGTATGGCATGATACACTTCAAGTAGGACCCAACAGATACTGTAAGAAGCATCTGTCCTAAGGACGCTGACCTCCAGAGCTGACCTCTGCTATTTATGTTCTCACACAGCAGCTGAATCCCTGCCTTTTCCCGCTGTCACGTGGACCCTTCCCTTCCTTTCTGACCTTGAGATGTGCCCTCCTCTCCATTACAGATCCGAGTCTGAGAAGGGCCTTAATTAAATTTTCAGTCATGCCCCTGCACTGGTTTCCTTCTTTAAGCCCTTTATGTTTAAATTACCGCAACTGTAGTTTCCTCTGTGCTGAGGCCAGGGGGCCAAACAGTCCCTTTATAGAAGGTGTCCAGTGTCAAAATGCATGTGCCCATGTTTTTCAAGTACTATGGCAACTAATCCCTCTCCGGTTTTATCCCCATTGAACCTCCCAATTGTTTGTCATTCACCAACTCTCTAGTCCTTTCTCCTTTCAAATGTCTGAAGGATTATTTTGGGTTTTGGCCATCTCTTCATCTGGCCGAAGAATAACTGAAGAATAATGCAGCCATATATGGGAAAAGTCCCAGTGTGTGTGTGAATACTTGCTTACATTATTTCAAATTTCAAGCCTTTATTTTTAGCTATGCTCGAAAAAAGAAAGTGTGCAAAGAGCTTTAAATATTAATCGGGGTTGTTTGGGCCCCATTTATAGGTGCTCAAAGTTTTGTTTTGTTTTCTTTTTAGTGGGGTAAGTCCATCTATACAACTGTGTTTTGAGGAGGGGGACCATAGTTTCTGAAAACCCACTGGGCTACAGTGCCCTGCTCAGATTCAGCACACACACCCCCACCCCTGCTCTTCCTGGCTCTGAGGCAGATGATTTCCTGTTAGAGAGGAACTTGGTCAACCTCTTTGTATGCCTTCTCTATAAAGCATGGCCAGTGAAATTCTCTCGGCTCATTTGTCTCAGTTCCCCAAAGGAAAGTGTTTATTAATTGGCCCCTGCGGAATGAGATGTCATAGAGAAGTGATGGTTCTTGGACTGAGAACCACGAAGCCTCCACTGGTCACTCCTTGTGTAATTTGGAGAAAGTTGCCAAATTTAGCATGTGCCCTGTGGGCCTGAGCTCTCCTGCATGCATGTCCTGGGAGGCCTGAGGATTACCTCCTTGATAGCTCTCTTGGACCACAGTTAGAAGTTGACCCATCCAGAGACTGGCCAAGTGCAGAAAAGCCCTGAAATTCGGCCTGAAATAAACAAAAACAAAACCTCGCATTGAATTTGAAAACTGTGAAAAACCATTTAAGATGAGAAAATAGGAATACAGATCCTTTGGGGATCTGTATTTTTTTTTTTTTTTAATTTCTGGTCCATGTATGCATGGAGTGAATTTTCTTTTTTAAATGTTTTATTGTGAATTATATGATAGTTTACATGGGAGAACTTTAGGTTTACATTCATTCCATCGTATATCATCTCACTGCCATGGTTCCAATCCCCTCCATGCATCCTCAACCACCCAAAGGGTATATCCCAGAAATCCGCTCCCTACACTTCCCCCTCCTCCCCCCAGTTTTCAGCCTACAGTCCCTTTCCCTCTCTGGATCCAAAGTCCCCAGTTGCTTCATCACTCTGTGTCATCATCTCTGCCTCCATCTCTGTTTCTCTGGGTAGGGTCCCGCTCTCGGCTCTTCTCCGTTGATGGTCCCAGAGGCCTCCGCTCCTATCCTGGAGAATCAATCACTCCCTTCCTTGTTACAAAACTTCTACCTTTGCATTTCCAACCCTCATAATCCGTCCTGATAAGCATTATTCACTATAGTATCACGAG